TTTCACAAAATAATCTGTTGTCAAATTATTTTTAAAAAATATTAGAGGTTTCAGGGTTTCAAATGAACACTTTTTTTTATTTTGTCCAAACTAATAGTCATTGCTAGAAAGTTAATTTTCGTGTTCGGTTACATGGTGAGCCACTGTATATATATATAATAAAATTACATGATTTAAGGATCGGATGGACCCGATCCTTAAAGATCGGTTAACATCTCTAACTATAAAGCGCGCTGTATAGTATCCCCCTTTGTAGAAAATTTAAAAATTTTAAACCTCAATTTAACCTCAAGGCTATTAAACCGGTAACTAAATTTTTTAATAATCGCATAGTGAAATCTAAGTTTAATTATTTGCGGAAAAAAAATTGGATTAAATTGTGGTTCAAATTTTTTTAAGGGGGGCTACCATACAGAGCGCTTTACGGCAGTTCAGGAATTTATTTTTAATCAATTTTATTTATTGGCATTAAGAAAAATTTGTACAAATTCTCAGCTTCTTTTAATAAACATAATTTGTTCTTCCAAATGGATATTTAATTGTTTTCTTTCATGTATAATTAAATTTCCCACATCTGAAAATAGACGTTCAGATGAAACTGATATGGTAGGAATTGTCAAATACTTACATGTAACTTGTGAAAGAATTGGGTATAGGGATAGGAATCGATTCTCAACCGAAAATCGATTCTCGAGCACATTTTACGATGATGATGACGACAGCGGCGACGATGTCATGACTGGTCTTTGGTTTTTTTCATTGCATGTTGATTTTTCATTTTTCACTGGAATAATTGAAGTTGTACTTTGATTAATTGAATTTGTAGAGATACTAAAGATAGTATAGAGGCAATTGAAGTATTTTGATTCTGTGCCCGTTTCATTGCGTGTATTTTCTGTTGTTTCATAAATATCATTCAAATTTGGATCAATATCAGTCACTTTTGGCATCAATATTAAACGTTATATTGGCAATTGGTTATTATCAATATTAATACTTTTGTTAAATAATAGAGTACAGTCAAAGTCCTTTACAACGGCGCTGTATACCGGATTTCCAATAATTTACACGAATTATTATTATCGCTATCCACTATCGCTATCGTTATTAACCGTCAAATTTTAACCTATTCTACAAAATTAATCACTTCTCAGAATCGATTAATATCTCCAACCCATGGGATAATAATATTTAATTTTATAAAAGTATTTATATTATGTGAAATAATTATTTTAAGTTCCAGACGTTTTAAATTAATAGAAAATTAGTTCTTTAAAAATGCAGCGGATTCAACAATTACACTTGTTGATTCAGCTTGCAAAAAAGTCAATTGCTAGGCGAGTTCAGGAAATTGGGGTAACCGTGATTATTACAAACTGGTTGATATTTTTTTTAGCTATACATGTTGTGATTTGCTTCAGATCACGCTTCACGCGCTCGATTTCGGACAACATTAACCTATTACCCAGCATTAACCCAAACTCTGACCCTAAATATAGCTCTCAATTTGGACTGAGCGTGATCTGAGGCTAATGATACCTGACGAAACTATTTTCATGATGACGAAACCACTGATGATTGACGACGAAACCTGTGACGATTGACGAAACGGAAACGGGTGACGAAACTTTCTGACCAATCAAAATAATGGCTTTAATCACATGATGCTCAACGAAACCTGTGACAAACCTTGTGACCAATCAAAATAATAGCTAAAATCACATATACAAAGCCTATGCCGAATTTTAAAAGAATGTTACGTCATTAGAAATCTACATGTAGTTCAGGTGTTTGATTGGCTGAAGGCCATAAATGATCAAATAAATTGATAAAGCTTGACTTGACCTATTGTTTTTTATGGTTTAGTTTGCCAAAAATTGTCATTCGTCCGGTTAAATTTCAAACCAGTTGTCAATTTGCAAACCAGTTAGTAACTTTAAACCGGTTCATAATGATTTTCGCTCTCTGAATAGCTACTGTCACGGTTTAATCGTGATTAGGCGTAATCGACGATTCTACCTGTAGCAATAGGTTGGGGTGAGTTATTGGACTGAGCAGTATTCGGTCGTTTCTAATTCCCGTGCCGATATCTACGGATATCGTTCAGTATGACGGTAGAGAGGGGAGTTTGGATGGATCGGTTTGTAGGTAAGATGGTTTTGGGTTTTTAAGTTTTATGTGACGGGTTATTGACAATATTCTTCTTATTAACTTCCAATCGTTGCTTTTTCTAGCTAAGCCTTAAACTGTTCAATCACAAAGCGCTTTTCTTAATCAATCAATCAATATGCCGTTAACAATATCAATGTCTTTTCTGGATCAAAGGATCTAACCACAATCAATTACAATTTTACAAGTCTAATTTTACTTGGAGAAGAATTGTACGCAATTTAATTCTGTTAGTTTATTAACGTCCGCGGGGATTATATGTACATCTTTTTGGTTACATTATTTCGGAACTCGTTGCATAATGCATTCTATTGTTTAAGAGAAAATTTAAAATAGAAAAAGAAATAGAAAACAAAAGCGAGATCGAAAGCGAAATTAAGATTGAAAACAAAAGCGAAATAAAAATAGAATTTCAACAGCGAATTTAAACTAACGAAATCGGGCTAGACGGATTTTATCAAAATCGAGAGATTTGCGAAATTATTAACCCCGGTAACATTACAACACTTGGCGAACTGGTTTTTATAACATACCAGATAGTAGATAACTGGTTTGAATCTTATTCGTCGAATGAACTTTATACCCGGAAAATCGGATATATTAGGTTGAATATGAATTTTGACTTGACAGGATTATCAATAACTCCCCAGCGAAAGTAATGACCGCCAGTTATTTTATTATATTTCATTTAATCGCATAATAAAATAAAAAAAAATTTATTTTGAAAGTGCCTCATTAAGTCTCTAAAATATCAGTACTTGGTGTGCTCTCTTTTGTGTCAATGCAAATTCGAATATAATTTAATGTTCTAAAAATTTTGTAACGACCATTTTCAACTCAAAAAAAAAAACTGAAATTCGCAATAATTCGATAAATATTATTCGGGTTAAAATGAAATTACCACCAAAATGTTCGTCTTATTTAGGCGAATATAATAAGACTAAAATTACAAAAATCTGATAACTGGTTATCGAGAAAATAAGATTTTAAAAACCTGCAATCGAGAAAATGCCTTGTCGTGATGTGCTCCTATTTAGATTTTCACGAATTTATCACTTTTTTATTTTTTTATTGTTATCACCTTGCTAGAAATTTAGCACTATTATTTATATAGTTTGCTTCTATAAAAATGTTAGTATTGTAGTAAAATTTGTGTACTAATGTGATTGAATCGAGTCAGTTCAAACAAGTGGTTCGTGTGTGATCCTCTGTTTGACAATATTTTTTCACATGTGGTTGCTAATCGGTGGAGATCTTAATTTTCATTCAAGGGATCCTTTGAACTTACAATATTTTTTCGCATGTAGTTGGGGTTGTGGGGTCGTGCTAATCGGATTTGCCTTTCAGCTGAAGTATTCAAGACTGGTGAAGATCTTTATTTTCATTTAAGGATTCGTCGATCTTTATTATAACCGTTCCGCAATTACGTATTAATGACATTTTCTAGTTAGGGTTGTGACAGATATTACGCAATATTCTAGGGAAGAGGGTACTGACAGTGTCTTATGTCTTATGTAATATATAGAATCACATGCTTCAAATATCTTACAGGGGAGAGGATGGGCTCTATAATAAACTTAGATTACGTAATGTATGTCGGAGCTCTTACTTCATTACAGGATTGATTCTAAACCATTACGCTTGATCATAAAAAATTACGAATTCGATTTTGGACCACAGGTGTTATAAGGTAAGTTTTGGTTAGTCTTTTATCCGCTTTGCACCAGTAAAAATTCAAACGAAATATCCTAACTATTATAAATTTTATACTTATGCTTGATTATACGCTATGACCACTTCGATTTCTTTCATATATGCTAATTGTCTTTCCATTTCATGGATGTCTATAAATATTCCGGACATTTTGCTATTTTTGTTCTATATCAGCATTTTGAAAAGGGTAGTACAAGTGACTCGTTATAGTAAACTCTTGTTATAGTAAAGACTACGTAATTAAAACCTTGCTACGTATAGTAAATTTCAGTCCAAAACAGTCTATAATAAATACATCTCATTATAGTAAATTTACTACATGTAATAAACTCTCGATATAGTGAATTTTTGAAAAATTTTACTAATAGTCCGAATGCCTTTACTATAACAAGAGTCACTTGTATTCCGAATGGTTCAGATCTATCCGAGACCGAACCAGAACCAGACCGAAACTAATTCAAACTGACTATTCTTTCATTCAAATAAGTAATTTTATGAAAAAAAAATAATATATTGTACTTTTAGTATATACGTACTATGCTACTAAATCTGTAAATATTAATACAGTAATTCTTTTATTTCGATATATATTTATTAAATATAATTTCTATAAAAAATATTATTTTTAATAAAGAGATTTATAAGAAAGAATCCTTTTTAAGTTAATAAAAAGCATTTATTTTCTTAAGAATAATACACTAATTATATTTTAATTTTGTTTTGTTATTAATAACTTAATATAATAACAATCATAAATTTTCAGTACTTTACCTCAAAATAATATATTAACGTTGCTTTATTTTCAGATAAAAACTAGCAATTTATAATTACTTTTATACTTTTAAAGTATATTGCTTTTTATGGTCTTAATATTGTATCAGTCTATTAATCAGCTTGATAAAAACGTTCTTTGAATGAGAGAGAACTGTTATTAATACAAGATGAGTAAAAATACTTGCTGAATCACAAACAATATTATAAATTTCGAACCATCAAAATATCAATACAAATACTATGATTGAATTAAAAGATTATTATATTGATTTTTTAATAAAAAACTACATTTAATTGTATTAAAATAATCATTTTAAATTAAACTATTTAAGAAATCATTTATCATTTAGAAAGCAGAAATATTAAAAAATGTATACATGAATTTGAAAATATGATTTTAAAAAATAATTGTGATAAGACAATTGTTTTTAACTATTTAACTTAAATGCTAAGTATAAAGATAACGATATCGATCATAATATCGATATCACAATCATTAAATTCATTATAAGGACATGGATAATCAAAGTCATAATAATCATCAAAATAATCATCAAAATAATCACCATCATAATGAATCATCATCATAATAATCATTATCCGAATAACTTATAATATTAACTTTAATTCCTCGGTCTTGAAATTTTTTTGCTTGATTTCTGGTCACAAGTTTTCCGACAGAAATATCAAGTTCTTTAATGCTAATATCCAAGCTTGAATCGTAAATCGCATTCCAAATAGTTTCCAAATGTTCGTCTGAAATAAATTGCGATTTCGGAAAGCCTAATAACTGAAATTTTACTTGATTTGCCCCAAGCAAAAACTGCTCTAGTGATTCCTTTGAAAATTCGAAACTCCCCGCTAAGCAAAGAGTTTCCAGTGTTTTCGGCAAGTTTTTCCCGAGTTCAGACAAAAGCTTGTCACCGTGTGTGATGGATACATCCATATTTAGACATTTTAAATTATCAAACAATTTGATATAATGAATTAGCCAACACAATTCTTCATATTCGGTGAAACAATAGCAAGTGATTTCGAGATTTGAAAGGTTACGCGAAATTTTAGCTGCGGATTCAAGAATTTTTCTGCTGCTTTCAACACCAGAGATACTTAATTTGCGCAGATTTCTCAATGATACATGGGCATTTGGTATTTGGTAAATATTCCAATCTCCAAAAGGTAGAATTTGCGCATTGTCAAAATACCGATACCGATAATCGAGCTCAAAAATGATATTCTCAGTATTGATCAATTTATGACAAAGCACTTTCAACGTACACAATGTCACAATATTCAATGAATCTTGTTGAATTGTGTTTGGTAAACTTAACAAATAGTCTTGAATCGCTTCCGCGAAAAGGTATACATCTATTTGCTTGATTAATCGATAATATAAAAATGGAGCTCTTTGTTCATCGTTTAACGTTAAGTATTTTATGAGAGTTGAAATAAATGCTGGTCCACCGTGTAATGAAAAAGGAAACGGGATTCTCCATAAAATCGGGATTGCATTCATACACCAATGGCGATTGACAAGTGCACAATTAAATAAGTCGTGTTGATATTCACTAGCGAATTTAAATGTTTTTTGAAGACACAATTCGTTAAGTTTAGCAGCCATCTCTCTTTGTAGCTTTTCAGATAAATGTATTTTTATGATCTGACCACTTCTGATTAATAATAACGATAATTCTTATGTATCAAAGCACAACATATCGATATCAGCCGAGTTGATTTTTACACCTCAGCCCATAGTACATGTATGTACGAACGTATACAGAACTGTATACGTATGTAAAAAATCAAATTGGCTGAGATTATCACATGTATCTACACGTATAACGATAAATACGATAACGATAACGATAAGCCAAAACATAACATGACAGTTCTCAAAAACTAAATTAGATAAACTTGGTCGTAAAATGATTCAAAATCTAACCGGTCCGGTAATATTATAAAAAATAATATTACGTACCGGGGGGGGGGGGTTAGTTGTTAGAATTTATAACAATATTGTCGATCAATAAGCAAATAATTTTGTGGAACGTTATTTTATCTTTGAATACTGCTTATGTCTTCTCGAAAGTTTGTTTAACTAACGAAAAAGATGATAACACACTAGTTGTGAGCTAAACTGAATGATTTACTTAAAGAGGGGTTCTCTAAAGGTTCTAAAGGTGATTTTTACGAAAATCAACACCAATGAAAGGTAAGGGTCTTTTTAAGTAGAGGTGTTTTCGAGTAAACTTTAATTGCTTTAATTACAAGTAGGATTTATTGATACGACCTACAAAACAAATCGATGTTCACAAAATCAAAAAGCGCTTTAACACAAAGAGTTGGACTTATTGATGCGGCAAACAAGATACTATAATTCCAAAATCGGGGTATGGCTTATTTATAGTAGAGGTCTTCTACTACTTGTACGCAAGCTTTGAAGTTGATCAAGGGAAAAGATTTGTTAACAAGTAAGTATATTTTACAAGTTGGCACTTTTATTGAATCAGAGCATGAGCTTTTTCTACTTGAGAGAAACTCTTCTTTTATAACAATTCTTTGGCTACACTAATTGCATATTTCGTGTTATAGATTTACAAAAATAGAAACAAAAATATCAGCTAGAAAGTATTCACAAGAAAGTATTCACTAAAAATTATTAACTCAAAATTATCAGCTGGAAATTTTCAGCTCGATAGTTAGAGAATTTAGAGTTATTACGATAACAATACCTTAATGCATCAAACCATTAACATTCTGCCTTATAAAAAAAGTTAAGCACGTAAAATCTACGGAAATTACAAGAAATGGTATGTGCAAGCACGGGAAATGCGACAAATTCCGTACCAAAAATGTGTTTATGTACAGCTATTTAAAATACCTAAATCATATGAAGGAAGTATTGAGCGTCTTAAATTAAAAGTGCAGAGATTACATGAACTTGATGATGCGACAGGATTGAAAAAAGTATTTCCACAAACATAAGCAAAAATTTCAATTTCAACTGAAGCATATTTTATATATATATGAGAGTGAAGATTTTTCAAGAACAAATACAACTTTATAATGCAACACTTCCAATACCATGTTCTTTATTAAATGAAACTGTCAACGATAAGTATTAAATTATACTTTATTGAATTAAATAGCAATAATAAACATTATCGTTATACATATTTATGTGTACGTTTTCACGTACGCTTACGAAATTATATAAAAATGGCACCTTCCATTTGCGAAGTTCAAGTATTTTTATTCTATCCATCTTAAATCGATGGTCTCGAAACAATAATGTGACGATGAATTTTTAATTAATTGATTCTCTAGACATACGTAAGTTTATTTGTCGTCACTTCATGATAGTTTTCATCGAGCTATCTCTAAATATAGACATTGTCATATCATTGCATTGCTCTGTATCGATTCTTTAACGTGTTTTTATTGCAAGTATATATGGTGGTGAGTCAAGAAACAAATGTATCAGACATAATTATTTTAAAAAAAAGAAACACTCACCCGCGCGCGCGCGCTCTCTCTCTCTCTCTCTCAAAGCTTCCTTCTTCACTTTCAAAGAAATCAACAAGAAACTCAAATAAAAATATAATAATGGTTATCTTCAAAAAACTTGTTGGGATCGTTTTGATTTTGGCAATTTGTCTCTTTGCTTGATCTGACGCAACACCTGCTCCAGAATCTTTAGACATTGGTGGCCGAAATGTCGTCCTTGTGGCTTCTGGCTAGTATGTTGCACATGGACATTTAGAATTTTTCTCGTCGGGGTTTAATACATTGTTAAATGAAATCTGTGCATGAGATTATACTTGTACGTATTTAATTTATACGATCAGGTGGATAAAATGCATGTACGTATAATGACTACAAATATGTGTATGCATTAATGATCACTGAACTTAAGAACTCGAACTATTGGACTTAAACCAAATAAAAAATGGAATTATAAAACTGACAACATTAGCATAACAAATTATAATTCCCTTCATCAAATTTTTAAGAAGGAAATAATAGTTAATTATATACATAGAAGATAATGTTATGATGATGCAAACTTAAATTAAGTCTACAGTCAAACCTTGATACAACGAAGTGTTCAAGCTATTAATAAAAATTTTGAAAATTCGTTTTATCGAGATTTACTTTAACCGTTCCCGGTTTATGAATGCTTTATTATATTGAGGTTTGTTAGACTGTAGTAATGTATATAGTTAACATTGTAAGTAAATGACGACAATTTTGCAAACAAACGTACTGTAAAGCGCTCTATATAGTAATTCAACCATCAAGATAAGCTTGCCGCCCGTAATTGTTTTGGCAAAGTTGTAATGTTGCAACATATATGTTGTAATTGTTGCAATGTTGCAACCTATATGTTGTAATAATTACGGCCAGCGAGCTTACCTCAAGACTATGAAACTAGTAACTAAATTTTTTAAATGAAACCTAAATTTAATTATTTGCGAAAAAAAAATAATTGGATTTACTAAAAAAAATTGGACTAAATTGTGGTTCAAATTTTAGAAGGGGGATACTATACAGAGTGCTTTACGGTAGTAAACGAAAATGAAGAGGTGGATGTATATCTTACTTGATGCATATAAACATTATATATTCCTTTTATCACACCGCTATGATTAAAATATTTACTTTCTGTAAAATGGGTTCCTTTAATTTTACTTACAATATCTAAAAAAATCCCGAAGTCTCTGAAGAAGAAATTACGAATGCATATAGTTCACAAAAAGGTAAGCAAGAAATCAACGCACATTTACCGGGAGGGTCTTTACAACAGACGTTAGGACATAGAATAGAGCGTTACAAGTTTGCTACCCGTTTATCCAACTTATGCTTTTTCCTCCTTTTTGCACTCTCTTATGCCTACTCGAAAGGCGTTTCAGGTGAATAATTCAAGCTTACTGTTTGTGAGATACCTAATGCCCATTTTAGAAATTATTTATTGACGTTTACTAACTTATGCTTTTTTGTTTGTCCAGACTTAAATAGATCAGAGAAGCCGCAAAACTTAAGGCAAGCTTGTGCAAGCATTTTGCTTTTTTTACGGTATACAGTAACTCTCTCTATAACGAACCTCTTTATAACGAACTCTGGATATAACGAACCTTAAATTTTTAAATTTTATATTAGTCGTTATAGAAAGAGTAGTGGACGACGACTGGGATGCGACCAGCATTCCCTGGACAATAACAACAACGGGAACGGGCGACGGCAACGGCGAAGATAACGGCGACGGCGAAAAAATAAAAGGGAAAGAAAAAAGTGCAGAAGACCAAGAAGACTCTCTCTCACAACTCCCTCGCCCTCAGTGACGAGCGGAACGATCGACGCTGGTGGTCTAAAGCCCAGCTGGATAGAAATCGTCGCCGCGAAACACGAAAAAACGGCGAAGCAGCGTTTCCCCAAGAGAAACGCGAAATTCCGGAGAACGCCACCACCACCCATAATAAAAACACATACCAAAGCAACAGTAACACTCACCAGCATAGAAAAGGCAAGCAAAGGACAACAGACTCGCCGAAATCGCTACCGGAAGGCTTTCAAAATTCCCAAAATCGATGGCGAAACTGCGACACTTCGCCGAACGAAATGCATGATGGCTGAGCGTATCCCCTACAGAATTTGGAAGAAAATTGAAAATAATAGTGGCAGTTCACTTAAGAAAAAAGGAATGAAAATTAATTTGGAAAGTGGACAACTCTCACAGCAAAAAGTTGAAAAAGAGAAATTGAATTTCACCCGACCAATCAAAGTACAAACCCCTGATATTATGGTGACATCACGCAGATTGTGCAACTAAACACAGTTGCATGGTGGCTTGGCATGATAATCAGCCTACTTTATGACGGCTTAAAAACCATGAAGTCATAATTATTTGGTCTCACAAGGAGATTTGTAGATCCAAATTATTTATATATATAGAACTTAGCCCCTTAAAATTTCCTTTTTTGATAAATTTTTAATGTTAAATGAAACATTAAAGATTCTTTTATTCCTTTGCTCTAAATTTCTTTTGCTAAAAAGATCCTTTTTATTAATAAATATATATATATATCCTTTTAATCACACAACAAATAAAATAAAAAAATATATAATAATAATAATAATAAATTTAATAATAATTTAAATACTTTCTTATTTTAATATTTATATTCTTATAAAATTATTATTCAACATGTCACAACTTTTTATACCATTAATTGATGAACAAATTCCAAAAGAAATTTCTTCAACAAGCTGATAATTTATTCACTAATCTTTCTTATCTCTATTCTAATTTAAAGGTTGAAATTAATAAAAATAACTATAATTTTTTAATCAAAGTAAACATAAATATTTTTTCATAATGTTTGACAAAAGTTAAAGCAATATCAGAACCAAGTGAAATCCCTAAAGACAAACTATATCTTTGAAAAAATTAATAATAGATGAATTGAAGGAAGCAAAAGATTGAAGAAGATTAGTAACATTACCAATTCATCCAATAGAAAAAGCATTATTATTAGTCTATTATGATGACCTGGCTGATAATAAATATATCACTATTTTAGTAATATTTGAAATTGGAAGAATTATTTCTTTAATAACTCT